GTGCATCTGGAAGAGCGGAGAGTCTGACGGGATTCCAGCAGACTAGAGCGCCTCGTCCCATCCATTCTTGAAGAACTCCTTGCTGTTTTCCTCAAGAACAAGGAGCACGTCATCGGCGAACTCTTCTCGGAGTTGCTCCTCGGACTTCCTGTTCTGTGCCTCGGTCCTGATCCTATCCAGCTCCTGGGTCAGAGCCAGACAGCTTTCCTCTGAGCCAACAGCCCTCTCCTCCGCCGCAGAGAGCCGCTGCTTCTGCTCTGTGATCCTCCCCTTAGCGTCGGCAAGGGCAGCACTTAGCTTTTCAGCGCTGACCTTAGCCAACTCGGCCTCCTTGAGGAGTTGCTCAATTTGAGCAGCCTGCCCTACGAGGGTGGAATCCCTGGCAGCTACGTCCTCATTGGCACTGGCAAGGGCACCCTCCACTTCTTCCTTCTGCTCTCGGACCCGTTGGAGGTCCATCCTAGCCCCATGATATCGCGTCGCTATTATGGAGATCTGTTGGGTGGCCTGCAGAGAAAAAGGCATGTCACTAAAAGGAAAAGCGGCTAAAAAAAAAAAAAAGAGTCTGAAGCAAAGATGAAACTTACCACCAGGGAATTCTGGATGATAGAGCGAAACAACACGTTCGTTGATCGCCTCCTGTGAGCCACTATGTCGGCCTCGAAATGCAGCGTCTCACTCACTGCATTGGCGACATGGGGGTCCTACAAACTGGAGTCGTCGATCCTGATCACTCGGTTCATGTGATCAGTGGCTCGAGGATTCCACTCCGCGGCTTCCATTGTCGGCGGAAGGGGAGGAGGAGTCTGCTGTTGCCGCTGCTGCTGTTGTTGTTGCTGAGGAACAGGGGGCAACCCACGACCTCTCCCACTTTGATACTGAGCAGAGGGGGCCCTGGATCCCCTGCCAAGGCCATCGTGCCTATGTTTGATCCTCTTCTCCTCCTCTACCTGAGGATCCCGATCACGCACTTGACCCCGACTGACGACTCTTGAGGATGGGGTGGCGCTGGTCCCTGCAGATGGGGCCCCACCGGTCGATCCTCGTCCCTTCCCGGCAGCGAGGGCTTGCCTCTGCCTTAGGAACCCTAGATCAATGCGGGGCGTGCTGGACATAGCTACCTCGAGGGCGTCCTCGGCGTCTAGAGATTGTAGGATTTGGAAGTCTGGTCACGAATCTCTCCCCGAAGTCCCCACCTCGGTGTGCGAAGGAACCAAGTCCTCTCTGACCCCGAGCTCTTCAACTATACCCTCTACTTCTGCCTCCGAGGCCCGGTCAGGGTCTTCTTCCAAGTTCTCCTCGACTTCTTGCCCCATCGCCTGATCGAAGAGTTCAGACCACCGCGAAGACTCGAAAGGCTGGGGAAGCTATGAAAACTTCTTATATCCGGGAGTATAATTCAGGAGGATGTGGGCAGCCCGGCCGAGCCTGTCGTTACCAATGAATCTCCAAACGGTGACTAGGTCCGCAAAGTTCACCAACGACCGGGGTGGAAGAGCTGTTTCCCGAGGGGAGATGTCTGCACAAGCAAAAATAGGGGAGTGGGTCATGAGCACGTTGAAAATCTCAGAAACAAAATAATAGACCCGAAGAAATCGACGTACTTGTCGTTCTCCATTCCAAAGGGCATAACAAGCCGTCATACTCGGGACCGACACCTCTCTGCCAAGATCCCTTGAAGATGAGTAGGTCATCCTTGTACCCCTTGTCCGAGTCAGGAAGGTGGGTAACGAGGTACATAGATGGGTCCCTGGCTTTGAGGTAGAAGTGTTGTTGAGGCGTAACTCTCAAGAGGGAATAACAAAAAAAGATATCGTTTAGCCCGACGTTTACCCCAAGACGCCTATTGAGTTCTAGGACCCTCATAATTATCCTAAAGACATTAAGGCAACACTGCCCGGGAAAGAGGCGAAAATGAGAGAAGAACTGGAGAAGCAGAGGGGGCAAAGGGAACCTAATTCCACCTTCTATGATGGCTTTGATAAAAAAAGGCATTGCGTATTCGGTACCGAGGGTACGAGAATGCACAGCGGGGTCATAATCCTCTATGTCTACATTCGGGGGTACTTAACCCTAAACCTATCAATTTGTTCACCACCTTTTACTTTATACTTCCCTGGTCTCGAAGTACTAGCCTGAGGGTTCTCGGGGGTAGGGCGACGACGAGGCATCTTCAAAAAGTGATAAAAAATAGAGGGGGTCTTTTCCACGAAAGTCCCCAAGAAGGCTTCCCGGGGATTGGTCACTGAAGGGCAACCAGAAAACACATCCGGTGATCGAAAAAACAAAAGAGACAGGAGGGCAAAGAAAGGGAAGATACTGAGACTCACCAGAGTATAAAAAGAGGTTTTTTCTGGAAAACTTGAATCGACTCCTTCCAAGAATATTCAGAGCAAGGATGGGTCTGCTGGCTGTAAAGCTTCAGTGAAAAGGTTGGGCAGTTGACAAACGGAAGAAAAGAGGTCTCCGACGAAGATTCAGACAAGGGTTCTCTATGAAGAAAAGTTCAGAACGATGAAATGAGAAAAGAAGAGAGGAAACCCCTTTATATATAGCACCTATCCCATCATTGGGCGCAGAGCACGAAACGGCGCATTTAATGCGCACGACATCCTAAGCAGGGAAAACGGCTAGGGGCAATGATGAAGCAGTTGGGGTTGTTGCAAAACCCTTCATCTCCTTACAACGCGTGTCCTCGGTGTCAGAAGATCGAAAGCTGGGGGGTAGTTGATGGGACATTTCCGGAATACTCCAAGATGAAGATACATGTCCTCGGTGTCACTGATCCTTGTTATCGAGATCACGTACCCATCGGGTCACAAGTCCCCTCTCCCCCCGAGGTGCTGATCATAGAGATCAAGTGGCATCCCAATACTTTTTATGTACTGACACGTACCCTCGGTTTGATATGGTTCATCGGTCGTTAGGCTCTTTCCCTCGGCTCCGAGATGTACCTCTTCCTCGGTACCGAGATGTACCCAAACGTCCAGGATGTCGTTCTCTGCTCCAGCAAAGGCTATTGATGTATAGGTCACTAGCCTAGGCTATGCTAGCTATCATGATCTCGTCTTACACAATTGGTGTCAGAAGGCACAGGAAGGCAGGGGCCACAGCCAGAGGGAATGGACGCGTGACATATTGTGTCACATCCGAGACAGAAAGACCGCATGCCTTGCTGACACACGACTTGAGAAAGCAAACATTTAATTACGTCATTCCCTTGATGAAACTGCATTCAATGCGGTAAGGCTCGGAATTGAAAGGCAATAAATGCCTCTAAGGCTGGGCATTTATTGCGTCATCCCCGAAGGGAGCTCACTGAACAGTCGGCAACCCGATGACACAGTATTGATTGCTCGGGATCCCGAGCAGTTAAAAGAGAAGGCATTCCTCATCAGAATCAGTGCGCACACTGCCTGTACCTAATGATCACCTACTGACTACACTGACAGCAATCATGAGATTTTGAGGTATAAATACTCCTCGCAAAAGGCAAGATGGTATGTAACAAAAAACCTTTGCTACAATATATACTCAGTGTTTTCTTCTTCCTCTCTCTCTCAAAGACTGACTTGATCGTCAGAGGGGATACACCGGAAAACACTCCGGCGCCCTTCTAACTTGTTCTTCTTTGTTCCAGGAACCTTTCTTCAGCCTTACTGGATCGTTCCTTTGATCCATGAGGGTCTCCCATTACCGTTCCAGGTTACCACAGGATCTCACAGGTTGTTCCAAGCAGCGTGGTTGACCATTCCACCGATTCACTCGAGTTCACCAAAGGAGAGATCTGTTCTTGTTTTTATATTGTGCAAGATCCAGCACGCACAATAACCACTCTAGAGAGTTTTCTTGGCTAGTATATTGTTCACTGCAACATCAAGACTTTTCCTTCCTCCAACCATCTCAAGCAATAACATTCCGAAGCTATAAACATCCGACTTATGTGAAACTTTCCCGATATGTCTTGATAACACTTCAGGCGCTATGTAACCCATTGTTCCCCTCGCAGCAGTTATAAAAACATCATTTCGTTCTTTTGAACACAACTTGGCCAAACCAAAATTAGAGATCTTAGGATTGAAGTTGTGGTATAACAAGATATTATGGGGTTTAATATCAAAATGCAAGATTCTTTGGTCGCACCCTTGGTGAAGATATTCAATCCCGTTGGCTATGCCTAAAGCAATGTCTTGAAGCTTCTTCCAACCAAGAGTTATATTTTTAGAGCTTGTTGAAGATATGAACTTTTCCAGTGAATCATTCGAAAGGAACTCATATACAAGAGCTTTTCTAAATCCATCGGCACAAAAACCCAACCAAACGAACCACATTGACATGGTGAATTCTCCCAATGGTTCCAACTTCATTGATGAAATCGTCCCCATTTCCCATTGAACTGTTGAGAACTTTCACGGCAACAAAAATGTCATCAGAAAACCTTCCTTTGTAAACGGTTCTGTAACCTCCTTCACCCAATATATCACTAAAATGATTTGTAATCCTTTTGATATCAGCATAAGAGTATCCTGTGGGCTAAAGAGCTCTATAATCCTCCAAAAATTTTTCAATTTTCACTTCATTCTCTTTTTTCATTTTAATTGATCTATAGATATGATAGAGTACAGGAACTGCTACAAGAAGAAAGCAACCTAAAATTAGACCTGAACATAAAACATAATAAGTTCAGAAAGCTTGTATTTCTAATAGATTCCTAGAATTACACCTAAAGGGAAAACCAATAGGCCAATATTAATTTTTTCCCAAACTAATTTAAAATTTTCACTTTATCCTTTTAAAGACTAAAAGTATCACATTGCACTTTGAATTTTTTTTAAATGGAAACAATGTGTCCCTTATCTCCCAATGTAGGGCATAATTTTGTGGAAAAAAAGGGGATACAAGTATAATGCTACCAAGAAATTCAACATGTAATATGACATTTATAATCCTTTTCAAGATAAAGTGAAAATTGTAAAATTACTTAGAAAACAAAGTGTCATTCACCCCCAAAAACAAAAGACAACATCACCTGCCCACAATTGTTTCTTAAATGCATGACCTGTAAAGAATAAAAACATTGTTAGCTTCTTATGCTTATGAAAATAACAATACCCGGAAAAACCTAACAACATTAGTTAATAGCAATCACCGCACTCCAGGATTCTTCATGCCAAGGTCCACACTGATAATTAAAATTTTCAACAACTTCATCACTTTATAGCTCCACCCACAGCTATATTTTTTAATCTTGTTTACAGGAGCCTCCTCTGACATACTTTAAAATTTCTCATTAAAGATCACATTGATAACATATACAGTAAATCCAGATTGGTTTAGTGGTAGAACATGGAGTAAGATGTGAGTTTGTCCATTTTGAGTTTAAGTCTCAATAATTAACATGGTTTTATCCGATGTGCGTGTGATTATGTGTATCCAAGTTTGTTTTTCAACTATGAGGCTCAAAAACATTTGGTTGAAACAATTCACATCACAAGGAAAAAAAAAAAAAACCTGCAATAGTTAATAGTGCAAATGTCAAATTGCTGTTGGGTTTTTCAGGTTTTTATTTGAGCAGCCAGTGGTAACTCATAATTCTGCTCCTTCTTTGACGTTTCCTATCTGAAGTGTGAACTGAAGTTAAAGCAAAACATGGAATAAATAAAGTACCTTTGAGTGTCTTGGATTTGGCAACACATTCAGTTTCATATTCTGTGGTATCATTCTTCAATCTACAAATCTTGCCTTCAGCTTCACAGAGGCTGCAATTTGGTTTCGACCAACTCAACTGAAGCTTACCTCCTTGGTGAAATATATTATAGGGCACCGATTCTTCTAAGTTATGAATGTTGCTGTAAGATGTCAAAGGAAAATCATCAACGTTGTTCCAAGACAATATGGCATACACTTGGTAGGCGGAAGCTCGAAGGCAAGGAACCGAGAGAAACATTTGTTTGAATGGTACAGAATCAAACATTTGTCTGTCTGGTGCAGAACAATTGAATAACGAGAAATTATATGAGTCTATTTCATTGAACTGGAAAGGGGAGGCAGACAAGTTGAGGTATGGAAGCTTTGACGAAACGCAGCCATCTGGGTCATACAATCGAATAACTCGAGATTTATAGCCAATTTTCTTGACAAATAGCTTCACAGAAAAGGGAAGATCAAGGACTGTTTGCTTGTTCTTATCACAGGATAGCTCGAACCCAGGAGAGCGGTAGCGATCTGGGTGGAAAGCTTTAACCCAGAATGGGAATCGGATTGATGGCCCATTGTAACCGCACCTGAAATTGAATACCCTGCGCTCACCTTCTTGAGTTGCTTCAAGGTTTGGAGGAAAGAACACTAAGAGCAAGAAGTGAATAAGAAAAAGGAAGCTGCTGGCCATTTCAAAGTGCCTACCTAGTGGGTCCTCAATGTCTTGCTATCTCTATTGATTTAAGCAGATTCGGCAAATGGTATTCTACGATGAGCAATGGCACAGGAACTTATAAAACTATTAAATTAGTCGTGAGTTTCAACGTTAGATAGAGTCCATAATTAATTTAATAATCGTATTGAATTAGATTTTTTGATTAAGTTTTCAAATTTGGTGTAAATAGCATTTTTCAATTGCTATTTATACAAATATTATTTACGCCTAATTTGAAAACTTAATTTAATACAATCATTGGATTGGTTGTGGACTCCATCTAACATTAGATTTCACAACTAATTTAATAGTTACATTAAAGTTACATCATTAGGTCCCAAATAAAATTCTTATAGCATTGCTCATAGCATTTTCCTTCTACAGCAATGCTATAGAAATTTTATTTGAGGACCTAATAAGTGTTCTTAGCGTGGTGTTTGTTTCCTCACATTTTATCTTGCCTTCAGCTTCACAGTAGCTGTAATTTGGTTTTAACCAACTCAACTGAAGCTCACCTCTTTGATTAAATATACTATAGGGCACCGATTCTAAGTTATGAATGTTGCTGCAAGATATCAGAGGATAATATTCAATGTTCGAGCTAGAAAGTATGAAATACACTTGGTAGCCAGGGCCATCAAGGCAATGAAACTGAAATAGATCTCTGTTTGGTGCAGAAAAATTGAATAACGAGTAATTATATAAGTACATTTCATTGAACTGGAAAGGGGTGGCAGACAAGTTGAGGTTTGGAAGCTTTGCCGGAACGGAGCCTTCTGGGTCATACAATCAAATAACTTTCTTGTCACAGGATAGCTCGAACCCAGGACAGCGGTAGCGATCTGTGTAACACCCCAACCCGGCATATAATATCTGTAATTCCTGTTTATTTTTTTGTTATACACCTTTCTTTATGTAAAAATAAGCATATAAAAAAAAATACATCAAACCCCTTAGTGGTACGGCCTGCCATGAGTCTTGCTTGTTTACAAACTGTAATATTGAACTCAAGAATATGACATAGAATAATACAATTTAAATTTAAAGGACATATAAAAATAAAACCCATGATGACATCCCAATCGACCCTCTAGACTCGGCAATGGACTCCTCACGTTGTTATGATTTTTCCTAAAAAGTCATTAAGACCATTAGTAAAAACAAAGATGTAATTAATATTTAAGAGCACAACAAGTGATAAAAGAAATTTTATTTATTTAAAAACAACCTTAACCACGAATTAGATACTTACTTTCAAATTACACTTCACCTCATACATATGTGTTTACATTGCGTAGACATAACCTGTATTTATCACATTAACAAAATATACAACACATATATTTACTTCCACATAATTAAATTATTCCTCCCAATGAATACCCCACACGCACACAACTAATCATCTTGTAAACAACAACCGCTACACAGGCTATTTTTAATTGTGCAAATTCTTGCGCCACATAGGCCACATATATCACAAGCTTGTATCACCTCATAGATATCATTTATCAATGGGACAACTCAAACCACATTAATAGTTTTCCTTTAGATGACCCACATCACAAAGAGGTTTTGATCATGTTACTTAGATGACTCCACCACATAATCAAATCCCATCACATAAACAATTAAAGCCATATAAATATTTCATGTTACTTAGACCACTGAATCACATAATCCTCTCTCATTATTTAAACGACTCTCGTAATGTACCATGTGTCCTCGATCAATTAATTATTTCCAACAATAATCATAGTAAAAACATATGTTTAAAAGTCTAATAAATTATCACAAAAAATTGTAGGGTAGTGCACCTACATTGCGAATAATTCGATCTCGTAAATGACTTCTTCGTTGTAGCTTTTGGGCAGCGTTCTTTGCAGTGCTCATCCCCAAACCTAACACCCAATATTCACAATCCCATTTGAATATCAATAAATAGTACCGCTTTTACTCAATTTGGTTTACTCGAATCAAGTTTCGTAATTTACTCGTGTCACATTCAATTCTTCATCCACAACTAATAATGTTAATTACTCGAATTGATTAAACTAGTAGTTTACAATTAATTCGAGTCACATAAAATAATTTATTCATTGCAAGTAAAATTTTCTACTCGAATTCATTACACCCAAAGTAAACTTTTCTCATAAAATTATAGTAACCCAAAACATACTTGATAATTTTCTGTAAAATCATAAATTTGCATGTTTTCTTATAATTACCCATACCCATGAGTTTTCATGAATATTTAAGAATAATTCACAAAATTTCTAATTACCCACCAAACCACCATCTGTTGACCAAAATTTAAGCCACATACAACATTTCCACTCTATTATTTTTCATGCAACAACTTTAACTTCACTTACACACCCACATAAATATTAAGGTAAATTCTTCATACATTAACTAAAATTCATATTAAACATCATAATTTAATATATACACAACACCCAAATACACACAAGATATCACACTTTAAATACATGCAACACTCAAAATATAAATACTAGAGTTGGATTTCTACATCTTAGAAGAAGAAAATTGATTATAATCCTTACCTTTGCAGCCACTCTTTTCTTCTTCTTCTTTTTTTTTTTCCCTCTTCTTTCCTTCTTCATCCCTTTTTTTTTTATCCTTTCCTTTTGGTTCTTGCTCTTGCGGAAAATGCATAAGGGTAAGTAAGACTACTTTGTTTTGCCCGAGTGTGAGAAAGACTCCTCTTGTTTAGTATTTTTATAATGTTTTTTTGCATGCAAGACATGCCTTGCATGTCTTCTAAAGTGGAGTACCTCCATCATTACCTATATTTTTAATATATATATATATATATATACTTGCACCTTTCCTAGCATATACATATATATACAATATACTTGCACCTTTCCTAGCATATACATATATATACAATATATATACATGCACCTTTCCTAACATACACACACACACACACACATATATATATAAATTATATATGTACTGTATGCATATACCCGCCTTTTCTTTGTATGCATATTTATAAATAGACATATATATATATATGTATATGTATATATCCCAAAATATTAATAATCTATTAAATTCGTATTCGAGACCCTTAATACTAACACATTTTACTTTAATAATAATACTTTAATGTCACATGCTTGCCACCCAATTAATTTTACAAGCATTAATGTACATAAAATAATAAAGTCATATCACATATTTGTTATGCTTGTTCGGGTCTTAAAATTTTTCCCCTTTAGAAATTTTGTCCCCAAAATTTGACTTATCAACATGAAACAAGTATATATATATATATATATATATATATATATATATATATATATATATATATATTTTTTTTTGTGTTATCAACTATTTTAATTTTATATATGATAACTAAAATAAATACTTGTAACTAAACCCCCGACATAAAATAAAATGCCTAATTAGTTTTCTCGGGTCTCACAATCTTAGTGGCAAGCTTTAACCCAGAATGGGAATCGGATTGATGGGCCATGGCGACTGCACCAGAATACCCTGCACTCATCTTCTTCAGCTGCTTCAAGAGTTAGAGGAAGGAACACTAAGAGCAAGAAGTGAATAAGAAAAAGGAAGCTGCTGGCCATTCCAAAGTGCCTACCTAGTGTTTCCTCAATGTCTTGCCATCTCTATTGATTTAAGTAGATTCGGCAAATGGTATTCTACAATAGCTGTCAGTGTTCTTTGCGTAGTTTTTGTATCCTGTCATTTTATACCTCAATAGAATAATAACTATTTTTGATATGACTTTTAAATTCATGTCCTTTTTATATTGCATTGAATTAACAAGTTGTGTGATTTTTAAATCCGTATCAAAATTATTTTAAATTTAAAAATATTGTGTCGAGAATTATCTGTGTGCTATTTCGTTGAAAAGTATAACTCAATGAGATAATAATTAATTCTGATATGATTTTTAAATTCATGTCCTTTTATATTGCATTGTGTTAATAAATTGTGTTATTTTTTGATCTCTGTTAAAATTATTTTAAATTTAAAAATGTTGTGTCGAAATTTACCATTTGTGTTTGACAATAGGTGCTATTTCGTTGAAAAGTATGATCATCTGCCTGCCTACTTTTCAAACATGGAAAGGCACAAGTCACAACTAAGAGTTTCTTTGAAGGCATGGACTTGATGATAGAAATGTATGGACCACCCATATCCATGGAAATGAGTGGTGATTATTCATTAAATTAGGTAACATTTAATAAATGTCATGTATGAATTACTGAATGATCAGACAAATATGACAAAACATGTTAATTAGAGGTACTCAAACATGACTAGAAATCAAACAACAGAAGAAGAAAATACCAAAAAATGTTGAGGATGCGAAAATACACTCATGGGGTTGTATCCTTTCTATAGTATTATTTGTATAGACTAGTAACTACGAAAGCACAGACACAGATAACATATACGGATACGATATAATATAAATATATGAATACTATAATTCTCAAAAAAGTATAATACGGACACTTTGGAGATTTGTTATAAAATAATTTTGTCTTATATATCAAACTATGTAATTTATCACCAATTGAGAAATAATTAGAGCATTATTCATAAGAAATTCAATATTTTTCGAAGGGAAAATTATATGTCCACCAATTACAAAGTATTATAATCAAGTATACTCATAAGAAATATATTTGATTATAATAATTACTCTCGTATTCTTAATTTTTTTTGCCAAAACTTTACGCCTCTTTGGCTTTCATTTTAATAATTTTAGCATGACCAGTATTATCAGTTATTTATTCTTTTCATAAGTTAGCCATTTGTCACTTCTCGGAAGATAGTAATTTGTTTTGCTTTGTTAGTTATTTGTCAACACATATTTATATTGTAGTGGTAGACATGATCTAAAGATGTATTAGACGTGTCATCAAAGGAATGACGAATATGTGTCCAAAATTAGGATTTTATCTTTTAGG